CCACAAACTTTTGGCGACACCATTCGATGCATTTTGATGTGCTTCTTTAGATGAGGCTGCTCTCACCTTATTCTACGGCGCTGATTCGACCAACTTGTCTTTACTCTGAGGGCACTCTTTCCAAAAATGGTATATAGTACTAAACATATATTATTCAATGATAAAATAGTCCATAGTCGATAGTATCTCTGTTAAAAAAATCTTGGTCATATCTCTGATCCTTGTTTAGAAAATAGAAATTTACTCAAAAATTTGTCAAATATATTGTATCTCCTTATAGTTGTATCGTCTATATCTCCAGAATCGCTCGTGTGTTTCAATTGCAATCTTTAGTTTCATCCTAACTCTGTTAGGTCTATCTACTGCAAAAGTATCAACCAAATTGGTGACATTGATTGAGCAACGATATGATAGTATTGGCTCATGACTTACATGCAATACTTCCTAGATATAAGTGTCAATATTGGTCTAACAATTATTTCACTCCTATATCGTCTAAATCGTCCAGCTCTTTCGTTTTCATGTGATTTATATATCGCGAACTGTGTCTCTTCTGATTTATAATCAATGTGAGAGTTATCAGGATTTTATCTTTCAGATCACACAAACGCTTTGTCGTTATCATTATTATCCTACACATCTATCTTTAAAACGAAGAAATGCGCGTTACTTTGTTGTTGATTCTATTCTTACAAGCAGCATGGTTTTCTTATTCCACTGATTTTGGTTGTACCATAGAGTTCCTTCAGAGATCTTTTCGGCGTTCTGTCAATTTGAAGACGATCACTGTTGTCATTCCAGATGGTTTTTCACCATTAATCTCGAAGGCTGACTATGGCGTACCGATTGGATTCGATTATGATTTGATGAATATGATTGGTTTAATTTCTGGAGTCAAGATTAAATATCAGTTCGCGACTTTCGAGGATCTTGTCTCCATAGTTCAAAATAATACAAACACTATTTCAATTAGTGCTCAACGGATTACACCAGAGCGCTTGCAATCTGTCGATTTTGCTCAATTTATCAGAAATGGCATCACTCTGCTGGTTACGTCTACCTATACACCAGTCATCAATGGGCTTGCAGATTTGTGTGGTAAAACAGTGGCTGTACAATCTGGGACACAACCAGCAGCACTTGTTCAGACACAGAATGGAAAATGTGGATCGAATAAAATTAACATCAAAATGGTTAACGAATATTTGGATGCTGTAAATCTAGTGAGAAATAGTACGGCCGATGTAGCTATTGCTGGTGAAATTATGCTTGCAGCAACAGTTCGTCAATTCAACAATCAACTGAAACTGGTTGGTGGTATATTTAACAGTACGATTGTCGGTATTGTATGCAACAAAAATAAGGTTAATCTATGTTGTGCATTAGTTAATGCTATCAATTTTCTTATCAATGAAGGCATCTATAAGGATTTATTGCAACGATATTCGTTCAATTACACAAATAATGCTATTTGTTCATCAAGAATTAATCTTCAAGGGTCAACTTGTGCATCTATGTGTATACCACGTAATAAACAGCTATGCATGAAAAATCTAAATTGAACAACGATCTTTACAAATGTCGAGACATTTTTGAATTATAAAGAACTTCGTAAAACTTTAGCTCTAGGTTTTAATCATCAGCCATTTAATAATCTGATTTTCTCATTCAATATATTTCATACTAATCTATTTTCGATGCAATAGCAATCGTAGTGTATTTTTAGCGTTCCTTTTTCTTTTACCTAAAATAAATAAATATAAACAAGCAACATTCATATAAATAACGATTTCGAATAAGTTGTGTCTCATCGATTTTGTTTCGAATATAAGGTTCAAGTTGAAGTCTATATCCACATAATATTCTGTTGTTAATCAGTATTCCAAAGTAGCGAAATATCGAGATATACATAACTAAGGCGATTATAAAAAAAACAAATTAGAATCATCTTCATACAATTGACAATACGCATCAACATGGCATCATTTTGCACCAATTGAATGTTAATTGAAAGACTTTACTGTGATATATAATGCCATAAAAGAAAGAGGGAACCGATTCTATGAAGCACAAAATAAATAACGACATGAACTGTCACTCAGAGTGTGATAATGAATCAGCGAGTGTTTAATTCCATCTATAACAGAGCAACTATTCTCTCTATGAATTCCTAGTCTCAGAGAGGGTGTGCATGTTCATGTTTTATCAAGATTTTTGACAATAGCTTTAAATATCGTCAATAATTGGTCAATTGAACGAGATCCTTCATCAATTACCGAAAAAATATTTGGGTGTGGGTGTGGGGTGGGTGTAGGTCTCGTTTTCAACCACATCCGCATCAAGACCCACACCCACACCCTACCCATCCTATATCTTTTTCTCTCTCGTATTGCCCTATTTGTCTACAAGTCGATGTCAACGAAATGGAAAAGAGAAAAATATTTTTGTATAGTTCTAGTCCTTTTTCTTCCGTTTGAAAATGATTTGTTGAACAGGATGTTGGTGCATGGGTGAGAGGTGTCGATGTGAGTCAAGAGAAGAATCTTATCCATACCCAACCGGTACCTATCATAAAAACTTAATAAACTTCTATTCAGTTCACAATAATCACATGTAATCTATTTGGCTCACAATAATTCAAATATACGATTAAAGTTCTAATTAATAGGTTTTATTTCAACTAACAATTGATATAATATATTTCTTTAACAATAATCTTCAGAATTGATTAAAACTTCATTAGGTTCTAATTCACTTCAGGAAGAATCTGATATCACCTATTTCTTTTAGAATAACAAAGATGAAAGTCTAATCAATATATTTTATTTCACAACAACCGATATAATCGAATTCGCTTCGAGTAACCTAAAAAATCGATTGCAAACGTAACACATCGTAATCCATTCCAGAAATGATTTTTTATAATCTGCTGCGTTCAGAATAATCTTAACAATTTAGAAAGAAACCTGATGGAATCATCGATTACAAATCTAATCGATTGTAACTGACTTGAGGAATAAGCTTTTATTATCTACGTTTTTCTGAGAATAATCTTAATAATCGATAAAATTTTACTAGATTAAAAATGGGAGTGTGGCGTGAGTGAATAGAAGAGTAACAGCCAAGGCCACACCCTATATGTGACAGAAAAAAAAACGATTCGAACTTCATTATTTCTGATATAAACAAAATATTTCTTTTGAAATCATTCCTGATCGGAAAAATCATAAATTATTATGGTGAAAGAGTTTATTACATGATCACTGTTATGAATTCATTCCTTTCGCTGACTAATATGTTGTGAAATTTCTACGTACTAAAATCTTGATTACTTTTATTATCCAGATATTCATCAGTTTGCAATTTTATATTAGTGAAATCGAAGATAGTGGAGTCCTCTCTATGTCGAAGATGGATATGGGTGTCAATTTCATGTTTCTTTACATCCATATCCTTAAATATTATCACTTTCTTCTCCTGATTCAGAATCGATATACCTCAGAGTTGGAATCCTAGTCTAAGATTAGTATGTAAACAAACTGAATTCAATATATCTAATAATAATTATTTTTTTCACTTGATTGCCATATAAAACTATTGCTGGTATCCGATGATCAGTGTACAACAACAGTTGAAAGAAAACCACAAACAGTAATCTATGTTAGTGATTTTATTCTTTTACAATGTCAGCAATATCATTCCGTTTTCAGGTTTCATCTCTGAGTAATTTTACTAAAAGCTTTTTCTATTAAACAGCATGTTCTTCTATCATTGGCAATACTATAATAACTTTAACTGCACATTTCATTCATCAGTTATGTGATGTTTGCTAATGAGTAATTGTTAAGCTATAGAAATATTATTTTTCATCTCAATTATGAGTATTTTTTGACAAGTATACAGATATACAGAAAAAAACTTTTCTTAATTTGTAATTGCTATAGCAGTAATCACACCTATAACTATTCAATATCAAGTTCAATAATTTTTGAATGTGTGTGTGAGTCTTCTCTTCACGCACACTAACATACCCACCATCATAGTTCATAGTCTTGATCGAAAAACTTTCAAGTTTTCTGTTATAACGTTTTGGGTGTAGAGGGTGTGGGTGTGGGTGGGTGTGGGTGTGGGTGTTGGTGTGGGTGTCGGTGTCGGTGTCGGTGTGGGCGCGGATGTGGATATGGGTGTAGATATGTGTTTGCGTGTAGGAGGCTGTGGATGGTAGTCTTTCCTTAACCCACCCTCAGCTACACCCATACCCACACCCTCTCTGGCGATCTCGGATGAAATTGAAAGATGACCCAGAGTCTATTGATAATGAATTGGAGTTTTCGTCACGGATGCAAATTTCCATTTCTATTTTTCTTCTGATGCAATGGCGTCAATAAGATATCGTTATAATGTCAGAATTTGCCATGTTGCAATCACTTTTTAAACAAAGGATGTAGGATGTGGGTGTGGGTTACAATAAGATGATTTTACACCACCACCTACATCCTCCCACAGACACATCCACACCTCACTGCGATCGTGGTGATATATTGTGTTGTGATAGTTTCAAATAGATGTTTTTTCTCTTCTTGGTTTGTATCAAAGCTGTAGGTTTGGTACAGAGTCTATTGATAAAGAAGGCTAGGAGAAATTTTTTCTTTGCCCCATCAATCACCTTGATGATAAGTTCAATTATAAAAAGTGCTTGAATTTGTCAATATGCCTTCTGAGTTGATAAGAGAAGATAAATAATAAAGAAAAACACTAGTTCGAAAAATTAACTCAGGAGAAAAGTAGTATAGTTCATTCCAATTGCTGGTCAGTTTCATTAAAATAACAAGGAAGACAATGTATGAAGTATTGCTGTGAACAATCATACAATAGTAGGTCCCATGTCGTTCCACTAAGTCTGCATGAGTACCACTTTCTACCAGGTATCCTTTGTCAAGAACACAAATCAAATTATACCAACGAATGGTCGATAGACGACGAGCAATGATCAGTGAAGTTCGAGTTGAATCCTCGGTTTAAGCTTCTTGAAGAGCTTCTTGTATGATCTAAACATATTGGAAATCACTATTTGATTAATATGCATAAGAAAGCGAATCTGTACATTGTACGAGTTCATGACACTTGTTGCTTCATCTAGCAGTAATATTTTTGGTGGAAGAAGAAGAGCTCGAACAATGGCAATACGTCGGTTTTCACTACCTGATAGGTGGCTACATTTTATGCTCACTCTTGTCTCATAACCTTGTTGCGACGATGCGAAGACACAATTAAATATCATGCGTTATTATTTACTCACTTGAGGCAACTACTGAATTAAATCATGAACGTTAGCTATGGTGGCCGCATCGATAATATCTTCAATCGAAGTTTTCTCGCTACCATATACTATGTTCTGAGCAATAGTCAAATCAAATAAGATAGACTCTGGGCTAACAAGACCAAGACACGAACGAAGCCATTGGATATTCAGTTGTCGAATGTCAATATCATCGAGAGACCAGATTTCATAAGGCGAGCGTAGCGGTGTTGCATTACAATTAACATTAGCATTAAATTAAGAATAGAGTGTGGGTGTGGTTCTTCTCTTTACTTCTACCCACATATACTTCCACTCCGCACCTACATATCCACACCCACACCCACATCCACACCCACACACCCACCCACGCCCGCATCGCACACCCAATCCAAATGAATGTATTTGAATGGAATAAGGCTTTGTAAGACCTTTGAGTAGATTTCATGTTGGACATAGATTATTTTAAATGAAAAGACACGTTTTGTTGTAGAATAAGGGCTTGAAAGACCTTTTATGTTGGAGAAGTTTCCTGTGGAGTGTTTTGTTTTCCAAATGAATGCATAGAAATAGAATAAGACCTCGAAAAGCTTTTCAGATCATTATCAACCTTCGAGTTGGGTTATATTAATGGCGGAAAGGAACTTTTACTAAAGGAGGTCCTGGGAATGAGGTTCAGTAGAAAGGTCTTGAAAAGATCTATGTGCTGGAAAGGTTTTGAAATGTTCTTTTCTGGAAAGAACTTGAAAGTACTTTTAAAGGCGTTTGGTTGAAAGCATCCTAAAGGGATTGTCATAGCATTTTTGTCGGTAATTACGAAAATAGTGTAATTTTCTGATCGAAATGAATGTTTTGGAGCAGAGTAAGAGGTTGGGAAGCATTTTAGGTGGTGAGCAGAGGTGGCTTAGGTGATTCGGAAATAGACAAATGAATTTTGTCTGGTAATAGGCCTTGAATACTTTGTAAAGGAAAAAGGGGATCGATAGTGTGCAGGATTAGGGACTTTTCTGTCGATAATTTGTACGGCTGTTTGTGGCTATGTGCGACCGTAATACTGTCTCTACCAAACCAGCGAAATGTGAGCGATTTACAGTCAGAAGTTTATCGTATACGATTGTTTTCGATCGTTTACAGTCACCGTAATCATCGACCTGGATAGTAATAGCGTCATTATTAAACAGCCACTAACGTGTAGAGAACAAATCAAGTACATGTCTAGAAAGACATACATAGATGGATATACACTGAAAAAAAATGATACGATACCGAACCAAAAAAGGTACTTTGAACGAAAAAAAGGTTTCGTACATAGTACGGAACCTTAAAAGGTTTCGAATTCGTTTCAATTCTCTGAACCATTTTCGGTTCGGTACAGACTACTTCGAAATCTTGAAAAAGTGTCCTGAGTCGATGACAATCAAATTTAGTCACTCAAAGTTTTGTACGAAACCTTTTGAGGTTTTCGTATTGTCTTCCTAAATGGTTCGGTACGCTGCAAAAAAATTTGTATGATTACGGAACCATTTAGGAAGACCATACGAAGCCCTCAAAAGGTTTCGTACAAAACTTTGAGTGACTAAAATTGATTGTCATTGACTCAGAACACTTTTTCAAGTTTTTCGACGTGATCTGTACCGAACCTAAAATGGTTCAGAGAATTGCAACGAATTCGAAACCTTTTTACGTTCCGTACTATGTACGAAACCTTTTTTTCGTTCAAAGTACCTTTTTTGGTTCGGTATCGTACCATTTTCTTTTCAATGTATGTTACGCGTGCCACCATCTATATAACAATGTGAAACTGCGTCTGATGAAGTTATTTTTTCTTGGTTGATCCAGTTTTACTTTCGAATAATAATTGGGATCAGCTAGTTTCAATTTTGCCAGCAAATCACTTGCTAATTGTGACTGACCATCTTGTTCACACTCTTGTGCAATATCAAAATATCGATGTAGTGTAGCGGAACGACCAAGAAGAAAAAAATTGAAACCTATTCGAGCTATGTTCGTATAGCACTCTAAAGCTAAATCCCACATTTTTCTTCTTCGAAAACTTTGACCAAGGCAATCATAAATAAGAAATTCAATCTCAGGTGAATCATGCAACCCTTTCGATGATTTGTAAATTCGTAATGCTTCATCTTGGTGTGCCCACGCTAAATCAAACTCTCGTGTTTCACTGGTGACGTAACCTAAACCTGCATGACAGATAAGCGGTGATAATTGATAGAATAGCGTATAGTATTTTTTCACCGAATCAAAATTATTTTGTGTGTATTTTTGAAGTAGATATCCAACTTTAATAAATTGAGCATATATTGAGGTTGCATTACCAATACGATCGTATTCACTCGTAAAATATCCGCCACTACAAAGATCTTGTGCCTCCTTGTCACTGATCAGTTGTAGTTGAACAATTGAAACATGTTGAACTTCGTCATATTGAACATCGCCATATTTATGAAATATGGTACCAACGGTAAATAGTGTTTCATTTTCATCGGGCACCGAACTTAAATGTTGAGTATTCGCATAGACTTTTTTGGTTTTTTCTTTATCAATTTTCAGCTCAAATAGCACAGATTGTTTTCTCTCATCACTACTAGTTTGACCTGCTCCCGCAAAAATATTAAGGGCCAAATCACGATCTGGTGTAGTCGAAAAAAAACTATTTATATATATAAAATGATCGTAGCGCGCTTTCTTCAATGTTTCGACTTCTTCTTTTGACATTAATTGTCCTCGATAAAGTTCAGTCCGTTCGTTGTTCAGCTGTTTTTCATATTCTTGTTTAAGCTGATTATGTAAATCGACTATAAAAAAGTGTAGCAACAGAATCGTTTCAATATCTTGATGACGAAGCGCTTTATTTAGTACCCGATATAGAAATGTATCTTTTGTATACCATAATATTGCACAATCAGAACTATAATTTTCGTTAAATTCATTCAAAGCTTTTTCGGTAGCTGTGTTCCCGTTGTAATAACTTTTAAATTTAGCAACACATAATTCCTTGGCATTGTGAACAGGCTTCATTTCTAGAAGAGCATCAATGAATAGTGGAAACCACAACCAATCAGTCTTATATCGATGAATTTCATTCGTTGTTTTGTCTTCTGGCACTCGTTCAAAAATTGTCATAGGAAAATAGTTTGAATTTCTAACATCATCGGATAACTGTCGAAAAATATGCTTCCACATTTTGAATACACCTTTAATCTAGAATCTAAATACAGTTACTTTCAAGAATGAAACTCCCTATCAACAACTTTTACTTTGGTTTGTGTCGAGGACCGCTGAAACGGTAAATAGTTATCATATGGATTGTAAATGTAAATTGCTCGTACTTGGTGTAGATCGTACATATCGGAGATTATGTTTTCAGTGAATTCTATTGATACAATGAGAAAAACGCTTTCATACTCAGTCGTTTTAATATAATTTTTGCACGATTTTGGATCATCAAACGATCGAAAATAATCAATAATCGAACGTAGTTGTATTCGATCAGAATTTTTGATGTAATCCAGACCTAACCAGATGGCAGTGAACTGTTCCTTATTTTCCGACCGATGATCAGAAAGCATTGGCAATAATTCAATATTTTCAAACGACGGTAGCAGAAATGAGGGACATGATAATAATTGTCGACGACGTCTACATATAAAAAGAACAGAAACTCCTCCCATAATCAATGCACCAACTATTGAACAAACAACACTAACGGCAATGATTATACTGCTACTCTTAACCTTAACAGAGATTGTGGTAACGCTCGCCGGCATTAGAGAAGCCGTTGATATAATGGATTGGAATTTTGTTATAGTTACAGTAGTACCACTAGAATTATCATGTATTTTTGTAGCTTTTGAATCACAATTTGATGTATCCAATCTGATTAATGTAATTATGTTACTATTTTCATTGATGGTTAAATATATCAGTGCCAATCCATACAATCTTCCTAAAACTTCAATAAGATCCCTCGGATATGGTGCCCATATATTGAAAGTTTCCTTTTCACAATCTCGACCACGCAAATTTGAAATAAATCCAATTGATGTATCATTACTAATGACAGATAATGTTCCATGCGGACAACAACATTGTGTTTGATTACATTCATCATCGGACCATTGATAGTTGCCAGACCACTCATATTGTTGTCCAAATATTTCTGATGAACCAGTGGTAAACACAATTATGAGGAGTAAAAATCTGTATTGTTGCATTATTTTAGCAAGGATTTCTCACTACAAAAACGTTTCTACGTTGATCACGACTGATATGATTCAAAAGTGTGTTTTCGTAGCTATATTATTTTCATATCCTTCTTCTGGCTCATTAAAAAAAATTATGTTTTTTTGCAACTACCTCTAAGTCAGGATGTGATGTAAAAACAGAAGTTTTGGTTTTCTGCTTTGTAGAACAATACTATTCAACAAAAGAAGTTTTTGATACTATATTTCACGTTTGTGTTTCGTTAATCCAACACAAAGAATCAATACAGTATTGGAGTAAATGTCAGTATTGGAGCATGGTAATAGTCGGATGAAAACTATGTTTTTTCACCGAAACCCACATTACCAATTATACAGGTAAGGTTCGTGAAGATGGTTTAACGATATCATATCTAAAAACAACTGTAACCAAATAGAGTAGTATCAGGTTTCCAGAAAAGAGAAGCTTGCGATTGATGGTGAACGGTTTTCTACTGATAAATCACTGATAAATACCAAAGGCAGTCTAAGATACTATCTTGCCGAGCATATTGATCAAATGTTTTGCCATTCACTCTGCATCGCTGTTGTACTACTAATGTGAAGGGGTTGACATATTAAAAGTGTCAAACCTCTGTGACTGTAAGTTATTATGTGAAACGAACATGAACTTTTTTGGGAATGCAATATATGTAAAACTTCCTAAAATGTTTAAAACTCAGGGCAGATTAGAAGACACGGATCTCATATTGTGGCAATCTCTTTATTGAATAATCATTACCACTACAATTACTAGAGATTCTTTGTTCACTTTCTTCTAAGTATATGTTCTCCTGTCTTCTAAATTTTTACTCTGTATTCTTTGTTTTTAATGTTGTTTTCATTTTCATCGCTGTGAATTACGATGAAAACAAGAACAGTTGATTAATATTCTCCTGTGAATAAAATTTGATTGAATGCATAGTTGTAAGACGCCCTGTACTCAATATAATTTTCGTAGTCTAATGAGATCTAAAGCTTTTTCTTACAAACTGGAGGCAAGAGCTAGATTATAAGCTGATATTAAAAATAAAATTTATTACGGTCATGATTCATAACTGACAATGTGGCAAGAGATGTAACAGCACAGCTTTTGATTTCTACTAAAAGTGACAGATGGGTTCGTCATTGTTATGAGAACAGAGAAACTAATATCGAAATTAAAGGTCATCAGCTTACGTATCTTATTTTTCATCCATTAGGCCACCAAACCTAAATAGAAAATGAAAGAACTTTTCGTACTTATCGTCATAATTCGATTTATGCTCTCACTAATCTGCTATAAATGTCGGCAAATAAATTTCGTATTCATTAAAATAAATCTTTTGTTTGAAAGAGAATTATGTGAGATTATTAACTCATCGCAAAGAAAACGAAAAGAGCCAATCAGACCACAAAAGATATACGAGAAAGGAGAAACAACACAATGATTACAATTTACATACTAGCTCCAACTGATGCAGTCCTGCTCCTTTGAGTACCCAGGTTAATGATTCTGGCGACTATAAAAGACGATTTACGATGACGTAAACGGCCCATAGTTCGCCCGTTTGGCAGCGACAGTACTATGGTCGTAGCACACTGTGTCCTATACGGCGAGATACAGACGCCAAGTACGTCAAAATCTGCGCCGTATAACGACCGAATTTAGCTGAATACGACAGAAAACGGCAGTATTTACGGTCGTACATACCTGTGAACCGTTGTACTTTTAGTCCACAGAAAACATCCTACTTATGAACGCTACCAGCACACCTGTTTTCTTTACAAAGTATCAAAGACCACTTCAAACCATTTACACCAAAACGACCTTTTCAAGGTGTTTCTATTAAAGCCCTTCATCAGGTACTTCTTTGGCACATGTCCCTTGTCTATATTAATATGACCCAACTCGAGTGTGATAATTATCTGAAAGGCCTTTCAAAGCGTTATTCTATTTATATCCACTCATTCGGATAGTAAAACAAAATAAGTAGACGTTATTTGAGTATAACAAGCCTTTTTCTACAAATATAACTACCTTTCACTTAAAATAATCTATTCTGAAGATGAAGTCTACTGAAAGGTCTTTCAAAGCCTTATCTCGGATGTGCGTGTGGGTAGGTTCTAGATGCAGATGAGCACGACACCCACACCCACACACTTTTTGGCTCTTGTTGACAAGTCTTGGTGTCTCCAATAAAATAGTAGATCTAATGAGGGGCCTGTATACTGATGCATTCAGTTGTACTCGTGTACATGGTCAACTATCTGGTTGATTCGATATCAAAAGCGGCGTTCGCCAGGGCTGTATCATCACTTCGGATCTGTTCCTGACACCAGTGCACTGGCTGCTCGGTGCAACACTAGGACAGGAAATCTTCACCGACCTGAACTTTGCGACCGACGTGGCACTCCCGGCTGAGGCGATGAAAATGTTCTTGCTTGCATTGGAA